TTTCTTTCTTTCTTTCTTTCTTTCTTTCTTTCTTTCTTTCTTTCTTTTTCTTCCTCTTTCTCTCTCTCTCTCTCTCTCTCACACACACACTCCTGTCAGCCTTCATTCCCTCTCGCTCCAGGCACTTTACTCACAAGGGGAAGTGAATCCAGCATTAGAGAAGTTCTGCAGGTAAACAGACTTGCATTTGAAGCTCCTGCAAACTTCCCCATGGCTGGATTCCACCCCACCCCCACCCCCTGCGTTCTTTCCCTCTCGCTCCAAGCACTTTACTCACAAGGGGAAGTGATACTTCTACTATCCATGAAGAATCCAGCATTGGAACAGTTTTGCAGGTTAACGGACCATTGCTCCGCCCACGGTCATGTGTTTTCAAGTGGCTGCTTGAAAATGCATGGCTAGGGCGGGGGAGCAGACCTCCTTTAAACTGGGGCAGTGAGCATCAGGTGGGCGGGGCAAGCGAGTGAGCAGAAACTGAGCGATGGATTTGGGGCGTGGCCAGCTAGATGTTGCTACCAGTTCGGCGACCCACGCCAAATTCTTGCTACTGGTTCGCCTGAGTAGGTGCGAACCGGCTGAATAGTACCTCTGGTTTTGAGGGAAAAATACATCATTTATTAAAACATCCTTACATATAAATGTTTTTGAAAACTGGCAGAACTGTTTAACCCCCATTTGTTCTAATGAGTCTTAACAATGCCATTCTTTTTTTAAAAAAAAATTATATCAAAAATGAACTAGGACCTGAAAACCAATTAAGTTTTTTAGAGAACAAAAATAGGTTTCCTATCACCTTGGAGAGTTAAAAGTTCATCTTTGACGTAATAGATGCTTTTTGTCTGGTTCAGATGAAAACTACAGCTTAATTTTACACCTGAATAATGGCATCACTTCAGGAAATAAAAGAAAATAGGATTAAAATATGAAAGGAAATCAATTCCCTTTTCAGATTTTTGTAATGGAGAGAATCCATATACTACTAAAATTCTTAGGTCTGTAACCTTTAACTGGGCAAATCAATGCATCAGAGGGCAAAACTTTTCAATTACGATACCTCAAATAGGCTAGCTTATAGAACGCCTGGATCAGTGGTGGGATTCAAAAAATTTTTACTACTGGTTCTGTAGGCGTGGCTTGGTGGGTGTGGCAGGGGAAGGATACTGTAAAATCTCCAGTCAGAGGTGGTATTTGCAGGTTCAACAAACTACTCAAAATTTCTGCTACCGGTTCTCCAGAACTGGTCAGAACCTGCTGAATAGCATATCTAGCCTGGACTCATTATTCCTGAAGGAATGAAATTTGGGGAAGTTGTGACAGTTTCAGTATAGTCAAGCAACTGCTGCTTCAGAGCCACTGCCACATTGCTGCAGACATGTGACCTTCATTTTCAACAATTGGACAACCATTTGTCTGAAATGGTATAGGATTTCCTGCTTGAACAAGGGGTTGGACTAGAAGACCTCCAAGGTCCCTTCCAACTATGTTCTTGTGTTATTCTCTTAATATTCACCTACAGCTTTCTGGCCACTTGCACAATTATTCACTTCCTCACTTCCCAACAGCAGTCATTTTCCTGCCAGAAGGGAAGGTGCAGGCCACTCAGGACTCACTCAAAGACAGAAGCAGGATTTGGTGGGATTAACATCACTCACCTGTTCTTCCAACAATTCTTGCCACGAGGTATTAATCTCTTGCAATTTGAGCCATTGCTCCTCAGTCCAACGGCAAACTGCAGTCCAGCGCTCACCAAGTGTCTGGAAATAACACCAAAAAAAGTCTGATATCATACCATTTCCTCTAAAAGCAGACAGAAAATCAAAATTAATGGAATCACAACTACTTAGCCTTTTGTATTATTTTTATCCCAAAATGCTTACTTTGGAATGGCCTTTCAATTAAGATCAAATCTAAGAAATAAAACTGTACCTTTTAATAGGACTGCTATGTTTGGAAGATTATAATAATCAGTCTAAGCTAATCGGACAGAATCTAGATTTATGGACACTTATTTAATCTCAACAGGATTGAAATACAGTAAAATTGAGTTGTGCAACTTTGAAGGGCTTCTGAAGGGTATTTAGCACACACCTGTCAGCATCTCCCTGAACCAACGTGTTTTTTTCTCAGATCACACTACATATACAATCCTGCAAAAAGATGCAATTTCCTGAAATAATTGCTGACAGCTGCTACTCAAGTGTTTCTGAATGTGCCAATCATCTTTTCCCATTCTAATCTGGATATCTTCTCAGTGCTACAGTAATTCTTTTTTCTTTTCTTTTTTATTTTTTGTTCAATGTTGACCAACATCTGGAAACTTCGCAACCACATTTGATACATATCCATCACATCATACCCTTTCAAAATACACAATGTTTAATTTGGCTACCATTCTAAACACTATCCAGCATGTGGTGTGTGTGTGTGTGTGTGTGTGTGTGTGTGTGCGCACGCGCGCACACACGCATTCATTCATGAAGTATTTTTTTAAATTTTCACAAGTAAATATTCAGCTTATACTTAAATGAACTTCTAAACATCCTGGATATCTAGAATTTTCTTTAAATAGTCCTTATGAAAGGCCAGCAGGGTAAGGGCTCACTTATTCTCTGGGGACACACTGTTCCACAGGACAAGCAGTGGACAGAAAAGGCCTTCTTTTGGCTAGGCCCCACCAGCCACCATTCCTTAGTCAACATGACCTCCTGGAGCATGCCCCTCCTGCCAGACCAGATGGGATAAGTACAGACAAGTGAGACAGTACAAACAATCAACATAATTAATTGACTACATAACCACTACAACATCTATTGTTGCTATTTATTAGATTTTGTGACACTAAGATGACAAGCAAATGTTTCAAGGAGATCCAGATTCAAATCTGAACATCCACTGGGTGACTTCAGGGTAGTCACTCTCAAGCCAAGCAGGTTGTGTTTGTAACAATAGAAATGAAGATGGTTTTCCATGTAAGCCACTCTGACCTCCTGGAAAAGGCAGGATATAAATCTAACCAATATGCACATAAAACATTTTTGAAAGCATTCACTTTCATGACTCCATTCAGAATGACCAGCATGGGTTACACAATATAATAAAAATAATAATAACATCCACTCACTTGCAATTGATCCTCCAAGAGAACCGTAGCACTCTCGCCACTATTTTCATCAACAATGACCACCATGTGAGTCAAGGAATTGACTTTAACCTGTTCTGCTTCGATACCTTTTTGGAGCTCCTGAAAGAATGAATTCCGATGTTACAAAGGTCAGATGCAGCGAAAGTTCAGAGAACAGAATGGAGGCCACATTTTCTTAGGGGCAACAATATAAATCAGGGATGTCAAACTCAAGGCCCGCCAGCTGGATTCAGCCCATGGGGTGCTTGTATCTGATCTGCAGGGCTGTTCGTGGTGCCTCTGCCAGTGAAAATGGATGCAGCCCTTCCGAGCTCTGTTTTCGCTGGCAGTGGGTTGCAGGAGGCTGTCCCAGTCAAAAACAGCTTGGGAGCCCATGTTTGCTGGCAGAGTGCTCGGGCCACAACATATGTCCCCGACATAAGTGACGCTGACCTGGCCATGCCCACCCTGACCACGCCCATCCCGCCCTCCCCAGTCAAACACAACCCTGATGTGGCCCTCAATGAAATCAAGTTTGACACCCCTGTTCTAAATGATCAGAAAATGATATTTCTCTTCAACAGAAGTCTTTCTTCAAGGAAAAGGTATGCATTGTATCATATCACATATGAATTTTATACACACACACACACACACACACACACACACATATGGAAAAGAAATCAAAAGACAATGTAAGATTCCAGACAAATAATGCTGCTGAATCCCATTAACCACAGCATGATATTATGCCATAAGGCAAGGGTCCTCAAACTTGGCAACATTAAGACTTGTAGACTTCAACTCCCAGAATTCCCCAGCCAGCCAGGAGATTTGGAGATCCCTGGCATAAGGGAATCCAGGACTTATTTTAAAATATAACAATTCTCATTTAGTTACAACCAAGAAATTAAAGTGTGAGAGGGTTTTCCCCATTGTTTATATGATAGAAAGAGGTAAGCATACTTTATGTTCATCCATCTGTTGTTGAAAGGTCTCCAAGTCTTCAACTAAGCACTGAGATTCCATCTTTCGAATGCGTTCCTCTGTAACAGTCAACCAGTCAGACAGCTGCTGCAATTGACTTTTCTGTAGCTCCATCAGCGCATCATGGAGGCTGCCAAAAAAAAAAACCAGGAGTAATTCATCCAGAGTCCTGAGTTCACAGGTTCTGCCTAAGTGTAATCAAAAAGTAAACAAGCAACTTGGTGATCCTAGCTTTCTGTGGAATAAATTACTAAGCATGCTGATCAAGCCTTTTGTCTAACTATGTTGTATCACAAACACCATGGCTGAAAGCAAATTCTATCTAGCTTGGGACAGAATCTGTCCCAAACTTATTCTACAAAGTTGTTGAGGGATCCCTGCTGCAGGGGGAAAGAAGAAACTCTTATTATTCAAATATAATGTTCACTTGCCCAATTTCAAAATATATTTTATGGTAAATAAATGAAATTATCAACTAATCAACCAATTCTGTAAATAACTACTTAAAATTAGGATTTATTAAATTGTGTTGAATTGTAATCTATCCTCTGACATTAGGAACTATCCTAATAAAAAAAGTTCCTTTCAAAAAATATCTTAGGATAGTTTTAAATTTTCAATCAGAAGTGGAAATGAATTGTCTTCCAGACAAAATGTTCTAATAGTAAGCTATAAAACTTTGCTTTTTTATGCTCTCCTCCATCCTCCACGTCATGATGTTGTGGCTTAGTTTAGCTCACATGCTTTTTGCTTTGTTCTCTCCTCTATAGCATGATCATGGGGCTTGGATCATATGCTTAAAACATGTGTTACGCAGTAATCCTTTTTGTTACCTCAAATCTTTATCTGACATACAGCTTGAGACATATTCGCTAATTTGTGGAAAATGTTAAATCTAAACCAGAAACTCAATCATGGGGTGGGAGGGTTGTACGCTACAGATCTGTGCTATCAACGAACAATTATTGCCAAATAATGTTTTAGCCAAATTGCCTTGGACATCAAACTTCAAGTTAACAGATTCATGTTTCAGGTTTACTGCGAGATTTAGTCAACAAGGCAATTGAAAGGAATGATTGACTGATATGATAGACCTTTATTTTCAAGAGCAACTGGTTCTACGTTTAATGTTAGTACGATATTCAGTTTAGAAACCAAAATAAGTTTTTAAATGTACACCAATATACTGTATGCATATATGTATGTATGTATGCCTGCACATGTGCATGTGGAGATAGATAGACAGAGAAACTATTTGAAACATCCCATTTTCAAACAGATCCAACTCAATATTCATTTTCCTCTTTGCAAAAATGATTTAGATCAGGGGTCTCCAACCTTGACCACTTTAAAAGCTGGCTGAGGAATTCTGGGAGTTGAAGTCCACCAGGCTAAAAGTGGCCAACATTGGAGGCCCCTGATTTAGATGACGCTTCAAAAACATCAACATTAAAAAAATGTTTAGCCTTAAACACTGAGAAAAGAGCTTAATATATCATCACAACTGGAAACTAAACCATGTGTATAAAACAAATGTAAATCATGCCACTTACTAGGATTGGCGGTCCATACTGTCCACTCTGAGGCTCTCCCATCTAGAATTTAACAAGATCATTTGTTCCTGGATTTCATTTTCTTCCTCTACTGAAATATTGCCCTGGGCTATCAGTTGATTACCAGCCTGAAGCACGCTGCCCACACTGCTCTGATGTGCTGTCAGCTCCATCATAAATTCCTATAAAAAGTTCAGACTAATGTGACCTAAAGCAAACATTGTTTCAACTATTGCATTAATTGCCAGATATTGGCAAGCATAAATATAATTTGCAACATTATACAACAAGTAGAAATTCTTAAAAGAGCCATGGCCCACAGTAACTTAGCATCCAGGCAGAGAATGATCTCATTCAGATTGGTAGTATGATATGGACAGAAGTAACTTTAAGCATTTGGTTCCATGATGGTCCTAATTTCAATTAGCTCCCTTTCATTTGGGAAGTGACGACAACTCTGATTCAGACTAGGACTGTGATGGATAAATAAGTAAATAAATAAATAAATAAATAATCATTCCTTAATCAGGTGATGCTTGATAAAAAGCAAGCAAGTAGAGTACTTGGTCTGACCCACTCTTATGTCCAGCTGATATTAAAAGGTAAAAAAGTAAAAGTAGACTCATATCATGAAGCAACTCTAGGCACCTTCTTCAATCCTTTGTTGTTAGGAAACTACAGTCAACTCTGAGCAGAGAGGATTTGGATGCAATTTAAGCTGAGCAACTACACAGAAGAAAATGTAACCCATAAGATCCCCAAGTTTCTTTGTAGCATTTTCTGGATGGGTGAAGGGAAAACTCTAGATTTCTGAAGCCTTAATTAGAATCTAATTCATAATCCATGGAATAGAAAGACCATCAAGTGGAAACTATATTAGCCAGCCTCTTGTAGTAAGCATTCTTCAGAGATCAGCCATTTTTAAGAATTAATGAATGAGAGCTGAAGAAATAAATGGAAGACTTAAAAAAAAGATTGTCACTTCATAATAACAACTGTACAGTAGTATATATCATACCAAGACTAAAAATAAACACTCAGCTTTAAATAAATACACCACAATGTGTCCTTTAATGATCATCACTTTTTGATTAAAATACTGCAACACAAGTAAGCATCTCAGTTTCTTGTGAATATTAAGGCAGCGAATAGATTTACAGATGTATATACAATAGTTCCTGATTTTGAAGTTTTTTTATCTTAAAACTACAACAGCAAAATATACAAATACAAATCAAGATAACAGTCAGTTATATTATACTTTAAAGCTGGGGTCCCCAAACTTGGCAACTTTAAGACTTGTGGCATAGCTGATTGAAGAATTCTGGGAGTTGAAGTCCACAAGTCTTAAAGTTGCCATGTTTGAAGACCTCTGATTTAAAGTATCGACTAAAACTGCATGAATTTTAACATGAACAAAGGTACAGTTCTGAAGGAAACCTCTTTTTTCATAATAATAACAGCAACAACAGTAACACAGAGCTTATTCCAGTCAGTTCCATCTCCTACATGAATGAAAAGCAGGACTTGGGGCATGTTAAAGATAATATATTCTCAGTTTCTCTCATTTATTCCAGCAGCCCTAAACCTTTTAGGCACCAAGGACCAGTTCTGTGGAGAGATTTTTTTTCCACAGACTGGAGGGGGCATCGTTTCACATGTTACCTGCATCCCACGGATGGGGTTTCGCTTGTTTACACAGCCCAGTTTCTGTCATGCCGCAGCCTGATACCAGTCCACCAACCAGAAGCTGGGGACCCCTGATCTATTCTACTGTAGTAAAATCCACTGAAGCTTATGTGGTAACCAATTTCTTAATATTTAAGTGGCCAGGACTTTTGTTTTTTGCCATCTCTATACTTGTATACCCTTGTAAATATAACAAAATAAAATATTATGAGAACTTAATTGCTTATTTAATTAAAAAAATCCACATCTAGTTGCCCATCATCCCCAGCCACTCACTTCATGTGTAGTAAATTGTCTCTTGACTTCCTCAACATCATCAGATATGACTTCCTGCTCGTGGAGGGCATCTTCTGCAGAGAGCAGCCAAGTGAGAACTTCCTCCAGAGCTATCTGGTAGCTGTCCAAGTCCATATCCACTTCAGTCAAGGTGCTGGATGCTTCTGCTTTTAGAACTGCACAGTTACCTTCAGAAGTTGCATACTGCAAGTAGAAAAATCAAACTGAAGGCCTCTTTTCACAAAATTATTTTCCAACACAGTTGTTCCTCCATATAGGAACAACTTACTTAACAGTATATAAATACAAAAGTAGTTTGGTAGTAGATTAAAGCATTATGCTATTTGTATCTTCTTAGGGGGGAAAGAATGCTTTTGTAATAGGATACTCTTATGGGAGAGCAGTAACCACATATAGAATATTTAGTGAGGGAGAGGAAAATCTTAGACGTTCAGCATAATTAACTAGAAACCAAATAGATTGGTGCTATTGTTATGACCATTTATGGAGATTCTCAGTCATCCAGGTCATGGTGATTCCAAAGGTGCTTTTTTCTAGAGGTAACTGTGTTTTCTTTGCTTTTCCTTGAAGACGTTTCACTTCTCATCCAAAAGGCTTCTTCAGTTCAGAACTGAAATTCAAGAATCATCTTCAAGGAAAAACAAAGAAAATCCAGTTGCCTCTTGAAAAAAGCATGTTGGGGGACATAATAACATGGTTGTTGTCCTTTGCTGACAGTATACATATCTGCCCTCACAAATCCATGGAGAAATCCTTTATTTTAAATAAAACTTGTCTGCATAAATTTGAAAGCAAATGTAACTCGGTGTTCTAAAACAGCTGGTGAGAAACACTATTTAAGAGTTATTCATAAGAGCAATGTTCTGTGTAGCTCACACTGAAAATTGATATCACAGCTCAATATATTTTATAAGTACTTCTAAGATGTAGAGACTTCATCTGTAAAAAAAATATCCTATCTATTTCAAGTACGAATGTCTACCATAAGTCAAGTTTCCGGATGCCCAAGCATGGTATGTAACCGCAAACCTGTTATCAGCTAGGATCTCTGACAGGTGCCTGGCAAAAATCCCTTCAGATATTTCAAACACTTTAAATAGTACACACACTGAATGTTTTTCAACCAGTCTAACAAGAAGCAAGATGTTAGCATGTGGCAATAGAAACTTTGTTTATAATTTGTTAGTCACTAGGAAAAAAAGTAAATGATAAATATACTTCCAAGAATGTCATTAATTTGTGTTTGTTATTTACAAAATACCCAGCATTATTATAGTGCTGTGACTAAATAGGTCTGGTTTGCCCATTTGCAATCTCAAAATTATTGCTTTAAAAATAATGGAGTTGTTTAGACCCCCCCCCAAAGCTCTTTGAACTACACTATAAATCGGAATCGTTTCATCCTCCGTTTACTCATTAATAATTATGAAGTCAAACAGCTTTGAGATTTTCATTCTCCCTTGCCTTTCCAAATTTTTAAACTTATATGTTTAAGTCAAGAATCCGATTAGCTCCTTTTAAAATGAACTGGAACATCAAATGCAAAAACATCCAAGCTAACAGGCTTAATTTCTAACTTTAGCAACTTCTCAAAACAAAGTAGAAAAAAACAATTCAGTACATTTGTGTGCATCAAAAATTTACTGTGTGTACAATTATATAATTTCCAACGTACTTATTTTTTAAGAAAATATATGGCTGCACTGTACTTTAAATACCGCAGCAAAATGCCTGGACAGAATCTTTATCGTTCAAAGTTTCTTATTTGCAATAAAAAGATATGGTGGACCCTCCTTATTATGTGTTATAATCTGATAATTTCATTACAATATACAGGTAAATAAACATTGTTAACAGCTTTTTACAAAGGAAAAGAGGTTCAAGCAGTTGACCATTTAGCATGCACTAAGCTGGGTTTCTCTGTCTGAAAAAAATTTAAGATATAAAGTCTTAAACTGGGGACTTCTAGAAATTGAAGTCCAAACAACTTAAAAATTACAGTGAGAAATACTGCACTAAGTCAATCCAAAAGTTTAACACCTTTTATTTCTCTATTTGTAATAGGAAATAGTCATAAAATTACTTCACAAAAAGTTTGGTGTCATCTAATTTTAGCTATGCAATGGCAAAGTGGATTTTGGAAATTGCAAAACATGTCTGAAGGCTTACTAGAGTGTCCTCAGGTAGCCCATGCCTATTATATACAGGGAAGAGCTAGCAAAATTTCAATACATTCAACTGTAGAAGATCATGTAATGCAAAGTTAAAAGAAAAAAAAATTCTTAAAAAGGGAGAAAAGAAGTCAGTGACAAGAATGGCACAAATCGCTGCCACAAAGAGAAGATTACAAGTAGCCACATTTCAGATACAGAAAAGTGGTCCGAGAGAATTAAGATGACCCATTTACTGTGACAACTAAAAGAAAGTCACAATAATCAAGACTGGAAATAGAGACAGATGTAAATGGAGAAATGGACAAAAGATATAAAAATATTTTTTTTTAAAAAAAGCAAGATTAAATATATAAAACAGAATTAAGATGAGGCAAAAGTGAAGAGGAGTTATATAATAGATATAGAATGGTAAATAAGATGGGTAATGGTATATAAGAAAAGCGTGAATACAACTGAGTCCATACAAAAAGAGGTAATCTGGGGCCAAATTACTTTCTAGAAGAAAGCTTTATGTTTTTTATGTCTGTGTTTTATGTGTGTGTGTTTAATTAAGAATTAAATAATAAAATCTCGGAAGAAGACTAGATGAGAATAATTATAAACAAGCCAGAGGGAAATATAAAGTTGATGACTGGATAGCAGATAAATCAGAAAGGAAATATGATTGAATAATGATTAAAGAGAAACAATGTGGAATTTGGTAAAGGGAATTTATGTGTTTATATGGAAATGGGATAAATTATAAGTATGTGATATAAAGCAATATGTTACCTGCCTTGTAAGGATCTACAATGGAAAGAGGTTTTATGTTTTTAATGTTTAATGATGTTTTGTCTTGTTTGTTTGTTTGTAAAATCAATAAAACTTGTTTTTTTTAAAAAAAAGACTGGAAATAAGAGGATGCACTAATGCTGAAGAAATCAAAAATTTAGGGTGGAATAAAAATATGCTATAAAAATATGAGAGGAAGAAGGTAAACAGCAACTTTACTGCAGTAGGACAAAGTGGTGTTGAAAAAGTTGAGCAGGGTGAAGAAGAAAAACATTTTGAAGAAATGTGATGAGGTAGAGGAAAAAAACAAACACTAACAAAAGAGGGAAGGAAAAAATTAAGTACATACAGGAAGTCATTGATTTGCTATCTCTGGAAAACAAAACATGAGCGCTTAATAGTAAACCTGTAAAAGCTTTATACCAAGTACCTTCCCAAACATGATTGTTTGTTCTGCTCTCAATACTGACTGCACACCATGTACTGTGACTGCTGCTATCTATCCACAAAGAAATAACAAAAAACTGGGTGGGTGGGGATTGCAAAAACATGCAACACTGGGGTGGAACCACTTAGCGTGATCTTATTCCCACATTGAGATAAATACTTTGTATACTTTGGCAGAGGTGCAGACCAAAATATCTGCAAGACACCAAGGTGGGAAACATCTGAAGTGGATTAATGTAAACAGCAACACTGGTGTTCATGGAGAGACTGCAGGTAAGTCATCTTGCATGGCATATTGGACGGCTAGCAAATATGTAAAACGATATTTAAGGATGGTATCAGTGAGGAAACCATAGAAAGCAGCACCAAAATACTAAGAACTGAAAAATTATTAATCAAACATATTGAACACATCAAACATATACATTAAACACCCAAACGAGAAAATAAATACTTGTAGATCTGCTGCAAAAATATCACTGAGAAAAAAATCGGAGACGCTTTGTAAAACAAAAATTCTGAAAAGATCAGAATCTGTTTATAAGATCTAAGAAGCAGAAGAGACAAAGATGGAATAAGCTTGAGAGCATTAACATGAAAAAGAAAGCGATTAGGGCTATGTAGCGTTTAAGATTAAGCACGCCCTCAAACTCCTTAAAGTAACTCTCCCCCCACTTCTCATTGCTCCACTGAGAAAAGATGGATTTGAGCAACTGACAACAGATGTTTTGTGCACATTCTCTCTGCTCCAAAGCACTTTTGTGGCTGAGAATCCAAAGCTCTGCTCAATTCTAGAAGAGATAAAGAGGTAGAATGGGTAAAAATAAAGGAGAAAAGATAAATATGTGTAGATGACAAAGAGGAAGAACAGAACTGGAAATCAGAGAGCATGAATGTGCAGTCGAAGGGAGAACTGAGAGAGTAAGCAATTTTCAAAAAGCAAAGGGGTTATCAAGAGGAAGAGAAAATATATTCTCATTGGAAGAAAGGAAAGATAAACACCAATCTGAAAAGGTAACAAGAGAAAAACTGCATATGACATTATAGTAAGTTAATGATACAAAGACAAGAAGGAAACAATGTGTTCCTTCAGTACTGCATGCTACTTCTGCTGACTGCCAGCTGCCGATTTCGACCGGCTCAGCCTTCCATTCTTCTGAGGTCGGTAAAATGAAGACTCAGATTGTTGGGGGCAATATGCTGACTCTGTAAGCCCCTTAGAGAGAACTGTAAAGCACTGTGAAGCGGTATATAAGTCTAAGTGCTATTGCTATTTCAGAATTTATTGAGTCCAATAGCAGTAAGGATGTAATTATAAGGGATAGTTTTCTCAACCTTGGCAAATTTAAGATGTGCGGACTTCAACTCCTAGATAATTCAATTCCTAGGTATTCTGGGAATTGACATCCACATTTCTTATAGCTGCTATTATTGTGAGGGAATACTAATTTACATATGATTACATGCACATACATATTTACTGCATTTAATATGTTCTGTATATTTTTACCCACTCTTTTATATTTTTCAATATCCAGTCATGATTGTAAAGTACTGGTAAGCTGTCCTGGAAAATTTTGTTTTGAGGCATGTATTTTTAAAACTAAATACAATACTGTGAAAGAAAAATTAGTGTCATCAATATGCACCACCTGTATATCTTCTTCACATTCCTTTTTATATTTTCTTGGAAGAGTCTCTACTTCTCGAATATCTTCCAAGGTAACTTGCTGAGGAAGGACCTCAAATAAAGATGTCAAATACATTATAATGGATTTCTTATCAGGAAGCTGTACAGCAACATCTGAAAACAGAGCATATAAATGGGATACTTATTTGATGGCTATGCAAAGTTTCCAGGCTAAAGTTATGACAGATCTATAAAACTACACTCATTATCTTCAAGTCCATATCCTCAAAATAGCTATCCCCCACAAAACATAATAATTCAGCAGAACAAATACAAAACCCAAACCACGAAACTGAAAACCATCACTTCTCTATTACCATGTTTTTACCATCATAACTATGCTAGCAGATGGATTTAAATCAATTTTTAAAAAGCACAACATGAGCGACTGCAGTATATGCAAACTATTAATGTTTAAACACCTACAACAACGGCAGACAAACTTATTTATCCTTGGACTTGGGCCCAATTTCATTTATTTTGAAACTTTTTTGACCACTGGGGAGCCAAGATAATTTAACTAGCAATGTGGCATATCACTATAATTTCCTACTTTTCGCTAGTGATTGGTGTTTTAAGAGAGATTAATGGATAAAAGATAAATGTGACTATTTTGCTTCATTTTGTGGGGGAGAAATGCTATTTTGTTCATTTATATTTTATAAATGCAGAGGACTAATCAATATGAGAACAATTCAAAAATCATTAAAACTGAACAAGAATCAGTCACTTTTCTACTTAAATTCAGCTGTATATTCTTGTGAATGTTCTTAAAATCACCCAATTGTGCTGCAAAAACTGCATAACGCCACAGGTAAAGGGTCCCTAATTTCTTATCTAGAGCAACACTGCCCCCTTTCATCTCTAACTCTAACAGAAAGAAATTATATAGCAGTTATACAGTATTATAATAGTTATACCTTCAGGGTCTAGCAATTTTTCTATTCCCAAGTAATTTTTAGCTATGTTGAAGGCATGTTCTAATCTTTCATGTGGAGCCATTTTGGTGACTTTATCCCAGCTGAAGAGCTCAGGTCTAAAAAAAATTAAAAGAAAAATAAATTATTATTTAAAAAAAACACATTCATTCATACTATAGATCAAAACACTTGCATGCATTACGTATAGCAATAAATCCAAGTAAATAGCTTATGAACACATGAAATTCTACACAATTGCTGATATTTTGTAGAATCAATGGGAAATTACATCACCATCCTCCTTCCAACAGAACGGATTTTCCTAGATGCATTATTTGCTTTTCTTTCTTCACTCTTAATATAAAAACACAAAACTGAGAGATTTGGGGGAGCCAATAATATGAGGCTCTGTAATATTCAACCTTGTCTATGTTGTTTCCATAAATACTAAAATGATGGCACTGAACAGCTACACATGGGGTTGAAGCACATGGTACATATCTAATATGTAATATGTACTGTTCCTGTTCCCATGTACTTCCTTTGTTTCAAGGAAAAGCAGAGTCAGCTGCATGCTGCATATAAAACAGAATATGTTTCAACCGTTAAGAATAATTTCAGAGTTGTTCAACTGGTTTCAATGATGCCTAGTCCAGATTATATTTACAAGGAATGAAGCCTATGAATCCATATACTCTCAAAAGGAATAGATTTCTTTTTGCAAATAGATGGCGTAAGGCTTCAATCAGCACATTGTTACATTATCAGATTTTCAAGGGAAAATGTTTACTATATCTTTCCACGTAAAACTAGAAAGACAGGTATTTGTACTTCATGTTTTCCATGTTTGTTCTTTTAAAAAAAGTCACAGAAAATTATGTTTATTGCCTTCTCACACAAATTAGAAACCACTCCATAAAAACATGCTCTGCTTTCTTTCTATCTAACCTGTGCCAAATGACTTTAAAACAATTCCAAGGGTTATTTATTGAAAACTCAAGTTTTCTGCTCTGTAACAAAATGCTATACTGGTAACTTTCCTTCTATCATCCCTAGAAACTGTTTTGTTAAAATTGTCCCTCCCCCCCCCTCCCTATGAAAATATTACAGATGCTGGCAAGCAGCCACCTACCTATGCTTGTGAATCAATGCATTGAAGGCAAGCCCATTTGTCCAGCTGGTGGTGAAATTCAAAACATTCACTTCATTATATGATTTTGTGGACTGCCGCACCCAGCTCAACAGGATCTTTTCACTATTGGTTTGCTGTAATTCTGACATTATATCTTTCATTACATCTTTAACCTAAAAAGAAATGCCCAAGGTCAATAAAAAAGAATTAGAACAGAGGTCCCCAAACTTGGCAACTTTAAGACTTGTGGATTTCAACTCCCAGGGAGTTGAAATCCACAAGTCTTAAACTTGTCAAGTTTGGGGTCCCCTGAATTAGAAAGACTCAAAAAACATTGTCTCAATCTTAGCATTCAGATAACACTGTAAAGTGTTAAATATTAAAAATAGATATTGAATTATGCCATACTACAGCAAATGAAGATTCAAAACATTATTCTTATCTAATTATTCCATATATTAATTCTTCTGTTTTAGACTTTAATCTAAGTTCTTTGTATCTCCTAATGAGGTTTGTACATTAAGAAAACTGTAGTACCTGCCCTAAATTCCTACTCTGGTTCCCAAGCTTAGATGTATTCCAGTAACAAATTATTTAGCTATGGAATAACATTGAATAGCTTTCTTGGATATTTCTACAAGGAAGGCCTAGAACACAATCTGATAGTTTCTTATAATTAAAATATAGGTGAATTTTAAAATTTCATTAGAAGTGTTTGGAATGCCATCGACTGAAAAAGCAGTAGAATTTGGGGGCAGGCAAATTGTTTCATACACAAACAAATCAAGCTTGAAGCATCCCATTTTGAGTTCACAACAAGTTGTTTTGACCTCACTAGAAGTGTTCAGAGACGTTCCATCCATACCATAAATATTTTGAGCACAGTATACTTCTAAAACAACATAAAAATGCTTCCAATGAGATCAGTTTATTGAACTGAAAACAGCATGTTTCAAATTTAAAACATTTTCTGCCCCCAGTATAAACTAATCTTGAACTGATAAGGTATGACAAATAGTTCAAGTTCCTTCTTTCACAGTTAATTAGTGTATTGACTTACAAACCAAAATTAGAAATGCAACATGGGATTTAACAAATCAAAATTTTGTTCTGTTTCTGTTCTGTCCAATATACCTAAATTGTAGATAGAGATTCTCTAATTGTCTCAGTGGTAAACTATAGCAATAACTTTAAATGGATCTCATCTTTATCATATACATAAAATCAGGTTCCAATGATATTTCCAGTCCTAATAGGAGACTTGTATAAAAATCTATCTTCCCTGACCCCTTCCACATGGGAAGTAAAGAAATCTAAAGCAGTTGTTTCCCATTTCTTTTAAACAAAGGGACAGACAAGCATTTCCAAAGTTGTCTAAATGGAGGAAATTCTGGTTTATTCAAATTATTAATTCAAAATCTAGCTTGCAAATTCTTGATGTTAACTCATTTTTTAAATAAGTTCTGTTTTATAAATATTACATTATATAAGTTACATTACTATTACATGATCTCACTACCTCTCACAAATTATCTGTAATATCCATTATGGACCAACTGTAGTTACAGACCATAGATGGGAAATCATTGTTCTGAACATAGCACACAAAGAAGATACAAAAGGAAGCCCAGAAATTTCAAACCCCATACTCATTTCAAACACAAACCCATAGATTAGTACAGGATACAAAGATCTTTTTATACATGGCATCTTGGGCACCAGCGGGCACTGGCAAGAAAGGGAGCAAATAACAAAATGTACATCATGATGTTGCAATGTGAATTCTGCCTCTTTAGCACAGGATTTGCAATGTAGCACACAAGTACATAAGGGATGGACCTGAAAACTCTACAAGAAGTTTCACACTATGTTTCAAGTTGTTGCTTAGAGCAGTGTTTCTGAACCTTGGCCACTTTAAGAGGTGTGGACTTCAACTCCCAAAATTCCCCAGCCACCTTGTGAACGTGTGGAATTGAAGTCCACACCTCTTAAAGTGGCTAAAGTTGAGAAATACTGGCCTCAAGTACCCAGAAATTCAAGAGTGGTTGGTCAGCTGCCATGAAAGTTCTATAGCATCTCCAGCTAATACTCAACCAATACCCATCAATGCATTTTACTGCAAAAAGAAATGGGTCGCATACATGGGCTGAGAAAAGGCATCAAATCTGCTCACCTGCCAGTGCAAAATTATGCTCCATAACAATCCAAGTGTCAGTTTGTGATTTCCATCAACAATGTCTGTCCCTCCGATGTTCACCAGATCCACCTGGAAATATTTTCAAACAATGAAAATGTCTTCTTAGTCAAAGGCATGCAAACTTTAAACAAACTAATAGAAAGTGGGGAATAGAGACCCAGTGGCCTATCAACTGTTATTCTACTATAACTCTCACCATAGATACCACTAACTTCAAAATGACACTATCGAGCACTGCACACCAGAACAAGACACAGTTTTTTCCCAAACGCCATCACTTTGCTAAACAAATAATTCCCTTAACACTATCAAACTATTTACTGTCAGCATTACTATTACTATTAATCCTCCCAACCTTCCTTTCACCCATCTCCTCCCACGTATGACTATATGATTGTAACCTTGTTACTTGTATCCTAACAATTTTTATTGACTATTGCCTAGTATGATTTGATTGCCTATTGTACCCTATGACTATTATTAAGTGTTGTAACTGATGATTCTTGATGAATGTATCTTTTCTTTTATGTACACTGAAAGCATTTGCACCAAGACAAGTTCCTTGTGTATCTAATCACACTTGGCCAATAAAGAATTCTCTTCTCTTCTCTTCTCTTCTCTTCTCTTCTCTTCTATTGCTTCTCACATTCCTGGAATCAGCTATGTAATTTAATGATTTAATTGTACGTGAATAATTCAATTTAGACAAAATGAAGTACTATATAATGCACTGATTTTAATATACTGACAATATGATGATATCAATTCACAGGAATTTATTTTCTTTTTTAAAAATTACACCAGCAGGGGATGAAAGTGTGTAATATTAAGGCATAATTGATGAAGAGAATATAAGCAGGTGGCAGTTGTGATCAGGAGGGCTTTTGCACAACTGCACATTCTGAGTAAGTTACACCCTTTCCTGGAACAATCCCTACTCAGAGTTACCTATGCTCTAGTCACCTCCCGTCTTGGCTATTGAAATGAGGTCTACATGGGACAGCCCTTGAAAAGTATCCAGAAGCTTCAGTTGGCTCAAAACATGGTCGTCTACATGGTTTTATGCAGGTTTAAATGTGCACATGTCACCACTCCTGCGGAAGCTGGACTGGCTGCTGATTTGCTTTCAGGTCCAATTTAAGGTGCTGGTTGTCACCTTCAAAGTCCTACATGGCTTGCGATCAGAGTATTTGAAGGACCATCTTGTTCCAATCATATATACCTGACTTACAAGAGTAAGGAGGCTGAGAATTCTAAGGGTCTCCCCTCTTAAGGAGGATCATCTAGCAGGATAAAGAAGAAAGGCCTTCTCTGTGGTGGCTTCCTACCTGTGGGAACATCATCCCTGAAGAAGTAAGATTGGCCCTCATGTGGCACTTTTTCACAAGCTCTGAATACATAGTTCTGCCAACAAACTTGGATATTCCAGAGTGATAAGGAGCCCATTGTGGCTTTTCTGATTGTTGTCCCCAGTAGGGTTGTGGGGTGGTAGTGTTGCTTTTTGTATTGGGGTTTTATTCTTCTAAGCCATCCTGTGTCACAGAGAGTGAATTGGGTGGCCATATACATTTTTATAAATAAATAAACAAACAAATAAATAATCTATATTAAATTCCTAATCATTCATTTTTTGCAAAATAAAAGTTCTGATGCTATCAATGCAACCTTTCCATTGCAAATATTTCCAAAGTTATTGCTGCAACCACAGCGTACTTATCAGTAATAAGAAAAGGTTTTACATTTTCCCATAAAAAAATTATATTACTGAGTCACTACCATAAATCTTTTAATGTAACTTGACCACTTTTAGTTTCTTAATGTTACCAGCTCATTCCCAAAGCAGAGCTTTTTCCTAAATGACAATTGCATGGGAGCCTGGATTAACCTTCTATCGTTTTTAATAACAAAAATAACTTTTGGGGAAAAGAAATGATTTGTCATGTTACAAGGAAAAGGTCATTTTCAAGAAGCTGAACCTGCCAGCTCCAGCTCTCTTTCCTCCTACACAAGGATATATCATAGATCAATCTGAAGGAGCTTTCAATTCTAGGGCCAGATTCTGGAGAATGTACAAAGTAAAAAAAAAAATACAGGCATCAGGAAAGACATGTGCTGTGATTGTGTTTAATTCGGCAAATCGGAGTCAAGCTAGTATCCAAGTCGAAGAGTAGGCAATATTTAATTGGATAACCTGAGAACAGACTGAAGTCTATACCAACAAAATTACAATTTGGCCCAGCTACACAAAATAAATATTCATACTTTCCATCAATAGCCCCTTAGGATATCCAAGAACAAGAAATACAAGGTCACTTCTTACAATAAATGATCATGCCATATAGCACACTTTGTTATCTGCAAAGTTCAAGCTACTAGGAAAATTGAAAGGAGGCGTGTTAAGTTGTATAAAATTTTAGTCCACATATCCCTACTCAAAGACAGAGATTTCAGAAAACAATTTGACAATTTCTTTTCCCCTCAAGTTTCAAGGAAACAGAGATTTAGAAACTTACATTGTTCTGATGTAAAACCTGAAGTACTTTGTTGACATTATTCAAAGCATGGACTCTAGTAGTTCCACGTTCTTTTAACTTGTAAAAAAAATGCAAATAATAATAAATGTTACAATTAACTTTTCAGGAAAAGCACAATTAAAGCAATGATGCAGATTTTGGAACATTTACTCCTTTTCTTTTATCCAAGTAGCAGGAGTGCAACACCCTGTAGTATGCATTATTTGGGCAACATGTCAAAACATTTTAAGAGCAATACTGTACAAAACACACTGTAGCAAACTTTAATTATGTGCATTCTTTTCCTCTCTTGAAGCCTGAGTTTAGCAAAGCATATTTTACAATTTTGTTTAAAACTTGAAAACTGGTATTGAAACAGAATTTACAAACCATGTATATCAATCCTCTTGTTAATTAACTAAATTCAGTGTGAATAGACTTCTATTTCCAACAGTCAGAAAAATAGGTTCAAAACCTTGACATTTCATTTTGCTTCCTGCTGAGGACACTAAAATTAGCTAAACTAATGTGTCACTGGGCAATATAGAGCAATTGTTATTCAACCTTGATAACTTTAAGATGTGTGGACTTCAACACCCAGAATTCCCTAATATTCTATTCCAAAATTCTCATATTGTAAATAAGCAAAGGCACAGTATTTTAAATTATCTTTTCAAGATGGTGATAATAATGGCAATTAGCACTTACCAGTGGGTTCCCTGTTAGCCCTTCTAACAGATCTAAGAGTTTCCTCCCATCTCGAAGATCTGTGAATATATCCTTTATTGGCTGTTTTCCAAACTATAAAATAAGATAAATAATTTTTTAAAAATAATTTCTGACTCCAAAATACAACATAAACAAATAAAAAGACAAACTGTAGCCAGATGTCATCTTGAAATACTATTATAAATAATATTGTCTACACATGTTATAGCATTCCAGATTTCTTAGTATGATCGTTATAACAGGCTGTGCTCTGCTTTTTTCACACATTCCTATTCTCTTAGACGGAAAAGAATAGTACCACAAGAAATTTTATACCCCAGGAATGAAATAGAAAATCAGAGGTTTCTCTTGCAAGAAAATCATCATCTTTAAATGACCCCATAATCCCTTCTGGGGTGGAGCCTAGGCAACTGAATGGAGCTGAGTGATTAGTGGCCAGATGCCCTTCCTGTCACCAATGCAGAGTTATATTCAGCATATATTTATATTTATATTTATTTATTTATCGTGCCCAGAGAGAGAAATATCTGCCTGGGATCAAGCTCACAGCCTCCGGATTGTGAGGCAAGAGCTCCACCTCTAGGCCACAGCACCATAATTGTGAGGCAAGAGCTCCAGATTGTGCAGTTCTCGCCTCACAATCTGGAGGCTGTGAGTTCGATCCTCTGAACCTTGCAAGGAAATGCTTTAAGGGATTTGTTTTAAATGCATTATACCACCAGAATACCTATAATAGGTACCAATAGAATGCTACTATATAATGAAAAACTAGTCTTTTAAGCAAGGAAATCCAGCTCTCCCCTGCAGAAATGAAACACCAGTATGGAAGCAGTAGATATAGGTGGTCCTCAACTGACAAAAGTTTGTTTAGTGACTGTTGAAAGTTACAAAGGCACCGAAAAAAAATGACTTTGACTATTATTCAGCTTACAACCATCACAGCATCCCCGTGGTTACATGATAAAAATTCAGATGCTGGGCAACTAACTCATGTTTATGACGGCTTTCTGACAGTGAGAACAATCAACCAATGGAACAGCTTGCCCTTGGAAGTTGTGGGAGCACCACCACTTGAGACTTTCAAGAAGAGATTGGAAGATTGGACTCCCATTTGTCAGAAATGGTGTAGGGTCTCCCGCTTGGGCAGGGGTTGGACTAGATGACCTACAAGGTCCCTTCCAACTCTGATTATCTATTATCTGTTTATCTGCAGTGTCCTTAGCTCATGTGATCTCCTCTTGCAAACTTCTGACAGGCAAAGTTAATGGGGAAGCCAGTTTCCCTTAACTACCATGTTAGCAACTTAACAACTACAGTGATCCACTTAACAACTGTCTCTTTTAGCAGCATAAATTTTCGGCTCAATTGCAGTTGTAAGTCAAGTTGTAATCAAAAGCACCTCCTTGCAACTTAGCCATGGAATGACTGTAAGGGAGAAAAGAGAATAATTTGGGCAGTATCATTTCCAAATATGGAAATGTCATACTGTAGAACTGTTCATAAAATAAAGTTTCCAGTTTGAGATGAAATGATAAGGTATAAAAGATAAACAAATGTTCCCCCTCCCCCGCCCAACCCTCATTCCCATCTTAGATTGTCATCCTCTGTAACCTAAGCAAGCTATATCTGGAAATATTAAATGCTACATTATGCAATAAGAAAAACTAGTGTATTTAGGAACTTGGTTCTCTGCTGCATGTCCTTCTTCAGTGAGATCGTGATTCAAGCTTGAAAAAGCCTACTTTATGTAGATAAAACTCACAAAGAATGCATTCTTCTTTTGGGGAAAAAGTCGATTACAAATAACTTACGTTCTTTCGCTTGCTTCTACCCTTTGTGTAGCTTAAGCTTGAGTGTTTCCAATCTACCACCAGTTTGTTTTCCTTTCTCTATATATTAACTCCTTCTAAGTCACTCAACAATAAACTTAACACAAGGCAAAGTCAGTTTGAAATCATAGGCCCTCAATAGCTGAATTTTAGATAATCAGCTTACAAAATATCTTAATGCAGAAAATATGACTAAGTTCTGGAAGGATATTATTTAAACTATATTTGGATGATAATTTTTTTAAAGTTCTATTTATGGGAAGCATCAGTGATAAATAATTTGAAACTCTTTTCGTTATTAAATAGGTATCAATTCAGGCAGAAATTTCAGTATCAGATCTACTTGGGTATAACCAAGGCAAGCCACATGAGCTGAGTGATGGAACTGTATAAAAGTGCTTAGGGAACTTGTTTGAAGATAGCAGTCATGAACCAATAGGATCTTGGATATTAGGTAGTACTAGGAACCTCTAAGTTTTTGATCCTAAACTATGTTCATGAACTGGAAACAACCATTCTATTCAACAATACAGGCAATTAGTCCTGTTCCCTAATGGCAGCAAAAAAAAAAGGCTAGAAAGACTGTATGTACTCAACAAATACCTTAATAAAGCATATTAAAAGGGGGGAAGTATGGAGTTACTTTAGCTCTTAATTACATTAACTTCTTATCAACTTATTAAACTTTCTGGCTATTTACTATTCAGGAGAGGAAAGATTTCCAGTACATAGATAGAAAACTAATTTCTAATTCATGTTTTGTAATCTAAATATGGTACTTTGATATCTGTGTCAAGATTTTCCATTTGATGTACCCAAAGCATGAGAATTCGATGTGGGAAACGATTCACAAAGCAGAAAGGTCACTACACAAGAGAAGAGTGGTTTCAGTAAATAAAATACAGTGCATTTTGCCAACATCTAAATTTAGTGCACCATCTTAAATGAGAATGAACTTTATTGTGGCTTTCTATCTGTTTATTTTTCTGCTTGAATTCCTGTTTGCATTCCACTTATTCAAGAAAGCAACAAATTAAATGTTGTTGAGGCTTTGGGAGAAGCTGGATATTTGCTCTTTGATATACTTGTGACAAAAAAGAAACAAAAAATAGTTCAGTTAGTTTATTTATTAGTTTTAATGACAGTACTGAAAACTCATATATAATAGATTATTTCTAAAACAGAAATGAATAGCAACAACTATATTTACTCTCATGATGCTAAGTAAGGAAAAACAGACTTGTCTTCCAAATTACTGTTTCAAGTTTAAACCATAACTGAAAGCAACCTGATTTTCAAAGACTATCAAAGTGAAATCAAAGCTATCAGAATCACATTAACACAGTATCTAATCAAGATTATGTGTGTCCTGTATTTCTTCATTTTAGCCATCATAATTTTGACATTTTATAGAGAAACAGTTCTAAATAGCTCAAAGAAAGACATCCATATGCTCATCCATACGAGCTACTTCTGGATATCTTTCCCTTTCTGCGAAATCATGCAAATTATGAGCAGAATCAAACTATTTTTTCTAACTGACGAAACAAACAAGAAAACGGGTTGAAGGCTGAACATTCCCAAGCAGCTTGGGCACTGCAATCCATTTACACACTATTAATTGTTGAATTGTGAGTTATGATTTGAGTTTAATCCAAGTTAAACTATCTTTTAACAGAGAACAGAACAAAGAAGCTTTTTGGGTGGTCGACCATGTTTTATTTCAGTTATTTCAAAAGGTGCTAACCTAGGTTTTCTGCACAGCAGCAGACCCGGCATTCTTGCTGTCAAATCATGCCCCAGTGTCCTCCCTATTGAGGAATATTAAGCAGCATTAAAACAGAGGTGTGCACTATCTCCAGCTGAGGGCTGCACCTGGCCTTTGATCGATGGGCCAAAGCTAAATTCCAACAGGAAGACAGAGAAGCAGACGGACCAGCATATGAACTAAATGTCATTTAATTCCTACTTAATTACACTTTAAACAACTTAATTAGATAAGTTAATAAAATTGCTCACTGTGTACTTAAAGGAGTTTTTCTCTCCTGCCTATGCCTAAAAAGAAATACTTCTGCATTGGAATCTTTTCTTCTTCTTCAGACCTACCTGGAAGCCTGAACAAATACATTTGTGCTTTAAGGAACAGCAAAGTGATACATTCAGAGGAGACCCAAAGAAATTTTGCAAATTATTTGTTGAGTATCTACTGTGGTTATAGGAACTGAGAGAGCAGCTGCTATTTACTCTGTCATCCAATAAACTGCTCGATAAGTACAGCTCACTACATGTGCAGAAGGGGAGGAAGAAATATTTATTGCTAATACTACAGGTAGTCCTTGACTTACAACCAGAATTGGGCCGAGGATTCAACAGAGGGAGGCTGTAAGTAGGGAGTAAACCTTGATCCTTCCCCACAGTCTTCCCTCAGCGATTTCGGCCACCACGATCGTAAAGATTGCATCGGCGATAACAGAGCCTCTCAGATGATCAGAAAGTAGAAAGGGAAAAGGGGAAGGCAAAGAAAAAGAACGGAAGATTGGAAGAGAGCAAGGAAGAAAAATAAGGAAAGAAGGGAAGGAAGAAGAAAGGAGAATGAAGAGGGAAGGAAAAAGAAAAAAGAAAAAAAGGAAGGAAAGAAGATTGTAATGAGAGGGAGGGAGGGTCTCAGGGAAGTCCTTAGCACCTGGCCACCACAGGTGCCCCTGACACGAGTCCTGTGTCAGGCCCACCATGGCCATGCCCACCAGGGCCATGCCCATCCCTGGCCATGTTCACCCTGGCCCTCCAAGGTCAAACACAACTCTGATGCGGCCCTCAGTGAAATCGAGTTTGATACCCCTGCAGCAGAGGAGGTCAATAAGGTCAATTCATACAGATACAGCCAAATCTCCAAAGGAACATCCTATACAAGTTACCGAACCTTGCATTTAACTGAGATCTTCCATTGGGCCAAAGGTCATATTTAGCACCCATACTCACATCACTGGATATGTAATAACTTTGTTCATTGCTGGAAAAAGCAAAAGATTTACTTTGGAGTTGCATTTCTGACATTGGCAACAACACTGTTGACAATGCCATGCTGCTCTGAAAAGGACAGTAGAATTTCTGTATACGGCTTTTAAAAGACAATGAATCAAACATTTGTTTCCAGAAAGGTCAGAATCTCTGGAGAAGGTTCTGCTAACACAGGCAGCTTTCAAGAAACATATAAAGTACACAGTCTATTACTGGGCCCTTTAGAATGAAAGGTATTTTCAAGAAGTTATGCATTAACCAAATCCTGCAAACTGGAGCTGAGCAGGGAAAGAAGGAACTCGGTGGCAAAGAAAATTGCCATTTTAAAGGGTGATTAGCACAATTAGGTTGCAGCAAATACAAAGCCCTTCAAGGAGAGAAATAGGGAAAGAGTAAAACAAATATTGCTGGGGATCTAGAATTGGAACATATTTTAATCCAACACATAACGGAAGACGCTATGTTTCACTGAACATAACTTAAGCTAGCGTTTTTCAACCTGATGCTCTCACACGGAAGTTCAATACATCTGAAAGACTATAGATTCAAAAATAGCCGTTGTGAGCCATCCTTACCTTCAAAAAACGAGTATTTATCCACTTGGTGAAGGTTTTCTTTTGTACATCTCTGTGTTCATCTAGAAAATAACAGTTAAGAAATTTAAATATTCGTTCTCAGTTTTATGCAATAGCATTCCAGTCAAAAATTTTCTTCCAGGAAAAGATATCAAGAAAAAAAAACAGGTTCATGTGAATATGGAGATATGAGGCAACATTTTAGAATATGATTTTCAAGCTATGACTCTCATAATTCAAGGATAATATATGTCTCTATCAGAATGTAAACTAGTGTTCATAAACAGAACAGATTTTCTGTACCTCCTGACCAAAAAAATTTCTTAAGAGTTCTCAAAAACAAACTGTTAATCTTTTCAAGAGAAGCAAATTCTGAAGACCGATAATTTGTGGAGAGCTCATACAAACTAATTACTAAGAAAGAGCTATCAAATTCCTGTGTTTTACTGGGCAAAAATGCTTCAAACCCTGAAGCTCTTAACAGGCAGTCAGAAAGTCCTCTTAATTTGCTCCCAGAGAGATAATTCCCTTAATTACCTTCCACAAAGATAGAGGATAACATTTAGAAATATCTGGATGTCTCACCTCTTCTTAGGATTAATTTTTGGGATTGATATCCCAAAAATGTGATATCAGAGTCAGATTTCCCTCTCTGCTGAAACAAAACACTGAAATCATTTGTTAGATTTCTGTTTCTTCTTTGCTTTGGTTCACTCCTTTTACTTTTATCAAACAGAAGTTTAAGATTAATATTGTTTATTTCAAAATGTGCTTGGAAAATCAAACTCATTCTGACATTATCCATTATATTAAGACACAAAGTCAACATTCTTTTTAACTAGTTCTTAAAATTCCCTTTTCCTTTAATTGCTTAAGGAATTTAGAAATAAAAGCAGGAATTAGCCTGTGGGTTTTCAATCACAAGACCAAGAATGCTGCAGAATAACAAGCTTCCATTTGCTTGCCTTGGGATTATACTGCTCTAATCTATATGCATCAACCCTCTCTCCAGACTGTCCAGGCAGAACTGAAGAATTGAATGGCCAAATTATTCATTAATTTTAATACATTAGCTCATTTTAAAAAAATCAGTAAACCATAAAAACATCAACTAACAAACATAAATCACCAGAGAACCATTATGCACATCCAAATGCTAATGTGAACTGTCTCAACATGCCATTTAAGAGACAACAGGTGGGATTTTAAGGCATGCCTCTAGGCAGGGAATTTCACAGCAGTAGAATGGAGAGGATCCTGTCCTATAGAGCCATCCTTCGCACACTGGTGCCTTAATGTGTGCAGCAGTTTAGTTCATCCCCAACTAACACACAATAATCACATTATTGTGTTGCAAATGACAGAAACCATAATCCAATAAGAAAAGTTTAAGAAAATATATGATATTTATCTACAAATATCGAAAAGGTCATAATGCGCTGGTAGGAGCTGATCTGTCCTATGTTGGAACTGAAAGGAGGTCAAAGACTAGTGGGTTCAAATTAAAAGAAATTTGGCCTGAATATTAAGAGGAATTTAATGATAGCAAGAGCTGTTAAGTATATCAGTAGTAGATCCACCCTCACTAATGGGTTTTTAAATGGCCATGATGTTGATGATTATGTTATCCATTCAGTTGTGTACGATTCTTGGCAATTTTAAGGGCTGATCTTCCAATCTTGCACTTGTAGAAAGTTAGCACCCACCCCTCTCTTAGAGGAATGAATTATTTTGAGAAATATTTTAAAAAGCAGTATATTATTTCCCTGGATGAGAAATTGAAAAACATGTCTTTTTTAGAGGGAGAAAGCAGCCCCCACCTTTCTTAATAGCCCACAGATGTCAGCACTTAAGAGATAAAGAGCTTACTGAGATCTTGGTAGCTCTATTCATAAGCAAATACCCTCACCCAAGATCCAACAAACGTAGGATTAGCCTCCAGCCACAACAGGAATTGCCTAACACAAGCATTCATTGCATCATTTCAGCAGTTCAAACTTCAGCCAAACCTGGGAGCTCAGACAACCTATAGAACCAGCCATGACCCCTACAACAGCCAATATAATACATTTTCTTGCACAGGAACAGGAAGCTCAAGTGCAAAGCCCAAAAGAAGGCATAAAAACCCCTCATTCTCAACTCCATGTAGACAGCTGCACCAGAACCATGTGCTTGATGGCTCTGCATCATCAATAAATGGACCCTCTTTCCAATCAGCCTCCAGCCTCCATTTTGTCTCTAGTGCCTTGGAACTGAACCAACACACTACTTTTTTGAGTTGTTCTATGGTGTCAGATTTGATAGTGTCCAGCC